GGTTGGGAACTAATTTGCTGTAATTACTTAATAGGATAAACAGATTCATTGATTTAGAATAATGATAAATTTTTATCATTAACAACGGTACTTTGAATGTATGTGTTGGATGAAATGTGAAAAACAAATCAGAATATAACTGTAATTACTGATGTTCTTTGCTGTTTTTTCTTATGGTTGTAGTTTGCAATCATCTTCATAACATGAAAGACCTTTGCTTTCTTTTACGTTTAAATACATGTAAAAACATAAATATATATAAAAAAAAAAATTGTTGTCCGATTGAGTTATATTAAAAATGCAAGGTAGTTTGGATACAAAATCAACAAACGATAAACGTTACGATAAATACGCGGGAAAAGTTAGTTTTTTTTTTATCATATGGTTGATTATATTATTGAATACGCAAGTTGATTAGGATACAAAGTCAGTAAACGATAAACGTTATAATGAATATACAAAAGAGCTTTTTTTTTGTTATCCGGTTGATTATAGTAAATACGCAAGTTGGTTAGGATACAAAACCAACAAACGACAAACGTTATGATGAATACGTGGGAAAATTATCTTTTTTTAATCATCTGGTTGATTATATTATTAAATACGCAAGTTAGTTAGGATACAAAATCAGCAAACGACAAATGTTATGATGAATATGCAGGGGAAATTATCTTTTTTTTTTATCATCTGGTTGATTATATTATTAAATACGCAAATTGATTGAGATACAAAGCTAGCAAACGACGAACGTTATAATGAATATGGGGAAAAAATTAGTTTTTATCATCTGGTTGATTATATTATTAAATACGCAAGTTGATTGAGATACAAAACCAGCAAACAACAAACGTTATGATGAATACGCGGGAAAATTATCTTTTTTTTTTTATCATCTGGTTGATTATATTATTAAATACGCAAGCTATTTTGCATATTTATTATAACGTTTATTCTTAGTTTTGTATCCTAACTAACTTGCGTATTTTTTATAATCAACCAATTAACAAAAAAAAAGTTATTTTCATATATTCATTATAACGTTTGTCATTTGTTGGTTTTGTATTTCAATCAACTTATGTATT